AGAGAGAGAGAGAGAGAGAGAGAGAGAGAGAGAGAGAGAGAGAGAGAGAGAGAGAAACTACAAGCTGTCTCCCAGGGCAGCTTCATATCATAACAGCAATGAGTAACGTACCAGTTTGTGATTGCATCATTGCCTAAATCTCTGATTTCTTACCAATCCAATCATCTTGTTCTGAAGAACCATGAATAACTGAGATTGGTCCTTGTCAACAGGGCTTTGATTTGGTCCAACCCAATCTCTAATCCAACAATGAACTGCTGGAGTACATGAAGGGGCTGGTCCTACAGATCCAAAACTACAGGATCTCCATGGTACAACACAATAGCTGTGAAGTTCCAGTATTGATAGAGTAGTAGAAAATTGAGAACTCATACCAGACCAATGTTCACAATGAACAATTTCAAGCAAAAAAGTGTAAAGGGTATATGTGAATATACTGTGACACACTAAATCTTCTGCAACAAGGTTTTAAAAAATCTGTTGGAGGAAAGTTGCAAGGGTGGATGGAGGGGTAGTGAGTGGAATTGAGGTTCCTCATGTGAACTTCACACAGTACCAATACAAAACTTTTTAAAAATTCTTCACCACTGGGCAGTGGTGGCTCACACCTTTAATCCCAACACTTGGGAGGCAGAGACAGGCAGATTTCTGGGTTTGAGGCCAGCCTGGTCTACAGAGTGAATTCTAGGACAGCCAGGGCTATACAGAGAAACCCTGTCTCAAAAAAAAAAATTCTTCACAAAGATAACATACTATCTTTTAAAAAATCTTGAAATTAATAATTTTAGAATGACATACTTAATGTAAATTATCATCAACCTAAATTGCCATTTCTAAAAGTCAGCTTTTGAGACTGATGTAGAAATAAAGACATTGACTGGTAGTGTCTACTGAAGTAGTTCATTGCTATTAACATAAGACTACAGAAAACACCTAAATAATCACTAAATACAGAGAATGAGGAATGACAGTAACAATCACAAGAACTCTGAAAGGGTCAAGTTCATGAGAACAAAGATAGTCTGACTAGAAAACAGTAAATAGGAAGAGAAATTGCTATGTCCAACTCAATGAAACAACAAAGCAGATTGGTTTTGAAAAAAACATAAGAATTTGGCTTCAATATTATATCATTTTTTTTATCACTAGAATGGGTCTTCCTCACTAGAATGTAACAAGGAATTTTCAAAGGTCTTCTGCAGCATATATTAAAGGGACTAAATTTACAAGAAAATTCACTGACAACCTATATACCATATATTCTTTGCAGAAGCTCATTAAATTTTCTACAAAAATCCATGTGACTTCAGGCCATAAGCAAATCTCAGCAATTAAAAAGAATTGGATAATTTTTTGTAAATTTCAAATAACACTAAATATAAGTCTTCAGATTATAATGCTTCAGTGGTCATTGAAGAAGCCATGGAGAGGATGTGAATGATATTATCAAATGAACATGTAAATACGTACATTCTTATCAAGCATTTGAAATACAGGAAAGGCAGTTTTAGAAAAAAGTTGTTACTTTAATAAATAAGGCAATTTTAGATAATGAAATGCTCTACTTAAAGTTTTTATAAAATCAGGAACAACTCAAACAACATTGAAATAAATATAGTAATAAGATCTGGGCATATATTAGTGAAACATACTAAAAGAACAAACTGAGAATCAGTGAAGCAAAAGTTGATTATAATAAGGTTGACAGAAAATTCAAGAAAACTCATCATACTATTCAGGTTTAATGTCATATGTCACACTGAGAACAACCATTGTTTGATCAAATGTAAACTTTAGTATGGTCACTTTAAGAATACTTGCATACATATGTGTATGTGAGTACATGCATCTATATTTCTACTTATAGCATGTCAAGTCTATATAGGACTTGATTAACCAGTGAGTAATGGATAACCAATTGATATGCTTTACCCTGGTCAGGGCTACTTCTGACATACTCAGTATTCCTCAGTGCTGTATCAGACTGTGAAAGGTTAAGGCTCATGAGCATTTTCACATCCAATTAGGCAAGTTCCTTGGTATCAGTTTACTTTTGGATGGTTAGGTTTGTGAAACTATGAGTGTAGCTTCTGGTGTTACTAGAAGACATAGTCTCATGGCAAATCTCTGAATCTCTGACACTTAGAAGCCTCTGTCCCTTCTTCCACATAGTTCCCAGAGCATATCTAGTGAATTCAGTTGTGAACTCTGATCTGGATATGGGACATTCAGACTTCTAACATTTAGAACAATTATGGAGAAGACTCACCTGAGATATAAGACCAAGTACTATGTTAACATTCCTGCTATAATACTCAAGGGATTGTCATTTCCCTTTTCAGTTATTATAGATTGAAGAGTATAGATGGAGGCAATCTTGTAACCACCTAGTTTAGTTTTTCTAATGGCAGAATTTATTAGTACATGATTAAGTACTTGGGTTCATCACAGCAAATCGGTACTGTATTTGATGACAAAAGATTGCATTTAGTATCTTCTTGTTCCATTAATGTTGAAATGTCTGCTCATGATATTTGAGGGTTTAGGAGGGGTAACATGGGTAATAAATAATGGAAGGGTAATATCTTCCTGTCTTTTTCAAAGTATCTGTTCTTATTATAAAATGTTTTCTTCCCATGATACTTTATTTCTTGAAAATTACGTTGCTATGTAAATATCCACCCAAATTGATGTTTATTTAAGAAGATAATGGGGATATTAGTCAATTTCATGTTGTTTCATTTTCTGACTATAAAAACTCAACTCCATCCTTATGTGTTAGGTAAATATGTGTTTTTAGTTTGGCCATGAAGTTTCTTAGATTATATCATTTAGCCATCATTTCTATATAAAATTTTTTGCAATAGTCATATTTTAATCTTAATTTTATATCTATTTAAAATCTAAAACATTCACTTTCCCACTCTATAGCCAGTATGGTCTTAAGTCAACTGAAAAATAAATATTTGCTTGAAAACTCCTAGCTTGACAACTATAAATGTAGTGTCTACTTAGTAAAACCTCAAGGCTATTTCTTAACTCAGCACTTTAAACTGCACTTGAGCAATTTCTCTCAGTT